GGATCAAACCTGCCGACACGGAGCCACCACCGTTGCTTGTGTACAAGTGGTGCCAAGGCATTAACAACTTGACAGACATATGGGAGACGAGCGAGGGTGAATGCAACGTGATGATGGAGACCGTCTTTTCCAAGGTGTATGAGAAGATCGACTTGACTCTGCTGAACCGTCTCCTCCGACTCATTCTTGATCACAACTTGGCAGACTACATCACTGCGAAGAACAACACGGTGCTGACCTACAAGGACATGGCGCACACAAATGCATTCGGCCTCATCCGTGGTCTTCAGTTCTCTGCCTTCGTCTTCCAGTACTACGGTCTCGTCCTTGATCTCCTCATTCTCGGCTTGCAACGAGCTAGCGAGATGGCAGGTCCTCCACAGATGCCTAACAACTTTTTGCAGTATCGTGACTCGGCGACAGAGACTCGTCACCCCATCCGCTTGTACTCCCGTTATGTTGATCGCTTGCACATTCTCTTCCGCTTCAGCGCTGATGAGGCAAGGGACCTGATCCAACGCTATCTTAGTGCCAACCCTGACCCGACCAACAACAACGTCATTGGGTACAACAACAAGCGCTGCTGGCCCCGAGATTGTCGTATGCGTCTCATCAAACATGACGTTAACCTCGGAAGAGCGGTTTTCTGGAACGTTAAGAATAGTCTGCCGCGCTCACTCACCACCATCGAGTGGGAGGACACCTTTGTCAGCGTTTACTCAAAGGACAACCCACAGTTGTTGTTTTCGATGTGCGGCTTCGAGGTCCGTATCTTGCCCAAGATTAGGACGATGGGTGGCGAGCAGTTCTCGTTGAAGGACGCTGTGTGGAATCTCACTAACGAGCAGACCAAAGAGAGGACTGCGCAGGCGTTCCTCCGTGTTTCCGATGATGGCGTCCAGCAATTCAATAACCGTATCCGTCAGGTCCTTATGAGCTCCGGCTCCACCACTTTCTCGAAGATTGTCAACAAGTGGAACACTGCGTTGATCGGCTTGATGACCTACTACCGCGAGGCCGTCATCCACACAAATGAGCTCTTGGACTCTCTTGTCAAGGCAGAGAACAAGATTCAAACTCGTGTGAAGATCGGATTAAACAGTAAGATGCCATCCCGTTTCCCTCCTGTTGTCTTCTACACACCGAAGGAGCTCGGTGGCCTTGGAATGCTTTCGATGGGTCACGTTCTTATTCCGCAGAGCGACTTGCGATGGTCCAAGCAGACTGACGTTGGAGGTTCGCTCACTCTCTTCTTTGATAAGTGTTATCTGGCTTACAATGATTCACTCGATCAGTTACGCATTTCCGTGCTGGTATGACCCACGAGGAGGACCAGTTGATTCCGAACTTGTACAGATACCTTCAACCATGGGAGGCAGAATTCTTGGATTCGGCTCGTGTTTGGTCCGAATACTCCATGAAGCGGAAGGAGGCCAATGCCCAGAACCGACGCCTCACCCTCGAAGATCTTGAAGATAGCTGGGATCGCGGTATTCCTCGTATCAACACCCTCTTTCAAAAGGATCGTCACACGTTGGCATATGACCGAGGTTGGCGTGTGCGTACGGATTGGAAGCAGTACCAGTTGCTGAAACAGCAAGTCGCTTTCCACCTGTCTGGATTTATTGATGACTGATGAAATGGCTATTCTAGCAACCCCTTCTGGTGGACATCTCAGCGTCATGACGGAAAGCTCTGGCAACTGAACAACTACCGTGTTGATGTCATTGCTGCACTAGGTGGTGTTGAGGGTATCTTGGAGCACACGCTCTTCAAAGGAACTTACTTCCCCACCTGGGAGGGTCTCTTTTGGGAGAAAGCGTCTGGATTCGAAGAGTCCATGCGATACAAGAAACTTACCAATGCTCAGAGATCAGGTCTTAACCAGATTCCTAACCGTCGATTCACGCTTTGGTGGAGTCCGACCATCAACCGCGCCAACGTCTATGTCGGTTTCCAGGTCCAGCTTGATCTGACGGGTATTTTCATGCACGGCAAGATTCCCACCCTTAAGATCTCACTGATTCAAATCTTCCGTGCGCATCTGTGGCAGAAGATTCACGAAAGTGTAGTCATGGACTTGTGTCAGGTCTTTGATCAGGAGCTAGAGCCTCTGCAGATCGAGACAGTACAAAAGGAGACCATTCACCCTCGTAAGAGTTACAAGATGAATTCATCTTGCGCCGATATCTTGCTATTCTCGGCCTACAAGTGGAACATATCTCGACCTTCACTGGTCACAGATGTAGGTCATTTTCAATACCTTGTTGAAGTTTGATCTGATCGCTCGGTTTCTTAGAACAAGGACGTTTTGGATGGCACGACCAGCAACAAGTACTGGATTGACGTTCAGCTTCGTTGGGGTGACTTCGACACCCATGATATCGAGCGGTATACTCGTGCCAAGTTCTTGGACTACGTGTCTGACTCCATGAGTATCTACCCCTCGCCAACTGGTGTTATGATCGGCATGGATCTAGCCTATAATCTGTGGTCTGCGTACGGCAACTGGTTCCCCGGTATGAAGCCTCTGATCCAGCAGGCCATGGCCAAGATCATGAAGGCCAACCCGGCCTGCCACGTCTTGCGCGAGCGTATTCGCAAGGGTCTCCAGTTGTACTCTTCTGAGCCCACAGAGCCTTACCTCAATAGTCAGAACTACTCGGAACTGTTTTCGAACCAGATCATTTGGTTCGTTGACGACACTAATGTATATCGTGTCACTATCCACAAGACGTTCGAGGGTAACTTGACGACCAAACCAATCAACGGCGCTATCTTCATCTTCAACCCACGTTCTGGACAGTTGTTCCTGAAGATTATTCACACCAGTGTTTGGGCTGGCCAAAAGCGTCTCGGTCAACTAGCGAAGTGGAAGACTGCTGAAGAAGTGGCTGCATTGGTTCGTTCGTTGCCTGTCGAAGAACAGCCAAAGCAAGTCATCGTCACTCGCAAGGGCATGTTGGACCCTCTCGAGGTTCACTTACTTGATTTCCCGAATATCGTAATCAAGGGAAGTGAGTTACAACTGCCCTTCCAGGCTTGCATGAAGATGGAGAAGTTCGGTGACTTGATCCTAGTAGGTGTGATCAGGCGTACATGCATTTTCATTGCTGATACTGTTCCTCACAGCGTGCTACACAACCTCAAATGGTCCTGTTCAGCTTGTACGATGACTGGCTCAAGTCAGTGTCCAGCTACACCGCCTTCTCTCGTCTTATCCTCCTCCTTCGTGGCTTGCACGTCAATAACGAGAAGGCGAAGATTATTTTGCACCCAGACAAGTCGACCATCACAGAGCCGCACTTCGTCTGGCCCACTCTTACAGATGATGAATGGATCAAGGTTGAGGTCGCAATGAAGGATCTTATCTTGGCAGTAAGTAATACCACACACTTTTTGAACTTGAACTTATCGAGTCCAAGGATTTCGGCAAGCGGAACAGCGTCAACATCGCGTCCTTGACGGCCAGTGAAATCCGTGACATTATTCTTGGTCAAGAGATTGCCGCTCCCTCCGTACAACGCCAGCAGATGGCTGAGCTGGAGAAGAGTAACGAGGCGCAGGGTCAAGTAACCGCTGTGCAAACTCAGACCACCAACGTTCATGGTGATACGATTCAGACCGTCACGACAACCAACTACGAACAACAGGTGTTTAGCAGCAAATCTGATTGGCGTGTCCGTGCCATCTCTGCTACGCATCTTCCCCTTCGTCTTCAACATATCTATGTCTCCAATGATGATGTCAAGGATGACGCTGCTTCGTACACCTATGTGTTGCCGAAGAACATCCTACGTGCATTCATCACTGCAGCAGACCTTCGCACTCAAGTTGCGGCCTTCCTGTACGGTGTATCGCCGCCAGACAACAAGCAGGTCAAAGAGATCAAGGCAGTTGTATGGGTACCTCAGCGTGGAAGCAACAATAGCGTTGAGCTACCCAATCAGTTACCAAAGGACGACTTCCTCCTCAAAGATCTCGAACCTCTTGGGTGGGTCAAGACGCAAGCGCTTGAACTCAGTCATCTTTCTCCCACAGACGTCACCACCCAAGCCAAGTTGATGGCTGACCACCCAGAGTGGAGCCCCTCGTCAATCTGTATCGCTGCTTCCTTTACTCCTGGTTCAGTCTCGTTATCTGCTCATCAGCTTACGGTACCTGGCTTCGAGTGGGGCCGCAAGAACATGGATAATTCTGCCAATCCGCCTGGCTTTAATCCTAACATGTCAGAACGGGTGCAGCTCTTGTTGTCTGACCGTATTCTCGGCATGACGCTCGTGCCCGAAGGTAAAGTCTGGAACTATGGCATTGGTCTTACCCAATTGTGGTCAGCCAACTTGTCATATGCTGTAACACTGGATACGCCGTTGTTGTTCTGGGCAGAGGATCACCGCCCCGCCGCATTCTTGACGTTTGCGAACCTGGAGCACGGCGATGATAGTGCTGATGTTGAAAACAGTTTCGCTTGATTTATCACGGCTCTTCGTTTAACTTACTGTTTTCATGTAGCTGCATACGAAAATCTCACTTGTACGAAATAGTTTATTCACACGATATTATGTTGTTTTCTTCGCGCCTCATCCCTGTCATCAGCTGTTTTTGCTTGTAAGGTTGTCAAGACTGAGTAGGTGATTGAAGCTTACTGATGAGCAGGAAAAGAAATGGTCTCCAGACTAGTAGCTGATCCAATTTACGACGATTTCGGCAAGGGAATCAACAGTGATTAGTACAACACAGCATGGCACCTCGAGATGCTGACATGTATGTAATTTATGTATACATTGTACATTGAATTTGTAGATTGTTTGTGTAAACTATTAAGTTAACGATATGCACCACTACCGCCTGTATGAGGGAATGAAGATGCAAAAAGACATGACCTTGCCTGCAAAAAGGGTTCGAAGAAACAAGTTCAGCGCGTAAAGCTCAAAACTCCAGACTAAAAAACACAAAGGTCATCAGGTGATCACCCACCCTACACTCCGTCCGCTACCCACTCACTCCCAAGACGCATTCGCCCGAATATCTGAAAAGTCCGGGAGCTCACTCTCCACACCCCCATCCACCCCCTTCTCCTTCTCCCTCCCATCCCCACCTTCAGCAATACACTGCGCTATAAGCTGCTTACTCCCCCGTCTCGGAGGCGGTGACAGAGCCCTTATCTCTGGAGCACTTTGAAGGCGCTGCGGTCGTAACGGACGGAGCGGATTGCGTGGCGGGATCGTCGGAAGCAGGACTTGCGTGCTCGGCGATAAGAAGCCTGGGTCATTCTGCATCGTTGTTATGGGCGTGCCTGGGAGGGGAGGCGTTTGGGGTTGTGAATGGGTGGTGCTGCTAGTGCTGGCCCTGCTGGCTGGGCTCCTGCTCCTGCTCCTACTCCTATTCCTACCAGGCGGTGTAGCAATCACAGGATGCACGATTTGGTGGGGTGTGAGATCGGAATCAGTATCGTGGGACGCGACAACAGGGGACGGAGACGACGGAGCACTAAGAATCCGCAGACGCTGCTTGATAGACATGCTCCGCCCAGAAGCGGCGCTATCAGGACGAGGAGGAACTGATGTTGATATTGATGATTCTGCACTGTTACGGTGAGACTGTGCGTATGCAGGTTCATCCGGACGCGGTGGAAGGACACCTGAAGGTGGTGGACGAGGTGCGGTCAGGCTGAGCCTCAACGCGCGCTGAGCAACAGACGTTCTGAATAGCGTTTTCTGGGACTGTGGTTGGGATTGAGGCTGCTGTTGTGGCTCGGGCGCAGGAGGAGGCGCAAAGCTCGGAGCAGGACGCGGAGGAGGCATCGAGCGGCGTTTACTACCCACACCAATACTTCCACCCATGCCAACCCCTGAACCAAAAGACCCAACCGTACTCGTCCGCTGCACAGACCCCGACCTCACACTCACACTACTCATAGTACTCGACCCACTCGTCCTCTTCCAGAACCCAGCACTAAGATTCTCAGAACCCGCACTGGCAGGACTCACACTTGGTTCAGACTCCTGCGGAGTTTGTGGCGTCATCGGTAGTGGGCCACTGGGGGGTGTTAACCGCTTCGGGAGGGTACGAGACCACCGACGAGGCGTGGAGGATGACGCTGACGAGACCGATCTTTCGATAGTGGAAGATGTTGTGGAGGTTGTTTGCACAGATAGACGTGCTGGGTTGAGCGTGGGCGTGGGGATGGGAGTAATGGAGCGTGGGGTGGCTGAGGTACTTGGACAGTCCTCGGTCACGGTGGAGGTCTGCATGCCAGGCATAGTACTTGTGTTCATTTGCTGAGATAGCGCGTCTGCAAGTGGGTGCACGGGTGTCTGCTTTTTGCACCGCGGGGGCGGGTGGAGAGAATGCGAATGCGAATGTGAGTGTGAATGCGAGTGAAAAAGTGTATGCGACAGAGGTGCAGTCGTAGATGGCGAAGGAGCCCACCGTTCATCCTCTTTGACGATCTTGAGATCACAAGCGGGGATACCGTTGATGCTTGCGCAGCACATGTTCGAGCAGCACGTACTCGAGGTCCCACAGAGACCGTTAGACAAGCTCCCGTTGTAGATGCTCCCGTTTGACAAATGCACATTAGATTCATCGGCCCCTGACGATGCCACACTGGGTACAGGTGAGTCCCGGCGCATCGGCGAACTACTCCTCTTGGTGCTTATGCCTGCGCCACTGGTAATACTCATTAAATTGCTCCCCACCGTCCCAAAGCTCTCTTCTGCATACTCGCTTTCGCGCTCATGTCCGTGTCCGTTGAGAGACAAGGACGGAGAACGAGAGCGAGGTGTGAACATGCCCTTGATGGTCCTCGTAGTGGACGTGGAGGATTTGGAAGAGTGCGTTTGGGAGAGCACGGCAGTAGGAATGTTGCCTGAGCGCTTGGATTGGAGGCGGATGGATGGCGTTGGGGAGGAAGAGCCAGAGTTCGGGCCGGATCTATGGACGTTGGAACTGTGGTTTTGTGATTTCCTCGTTGACCTGATGCTTGATGCACGCGTGAAGGTGTCTTCAGGTGGGTTGGGTGTCGAGGACCTTGTGTGCGGCTGGGAACGCATGGCTTCGAGCGATAGGGAGCCTCTGATTGGGGATGTAGGCTGTGATAGGGGAAGGGAACCTGCCAAGACAGGTGGAGAAGATGATGAGGTGCGGGGTGACGAAGGTGATATAGGGGATGTTGCGGAAGATAATGATGCTTGGAGTCGCATGGAGAGCATGACATCCATATCTCCGCGGGGTTCGTGCCCAGTGATGTGGGGTAATGCAGTGAGACCTGCACGCATGGATCTGGAGGGGGTATTAAAACCAGAACCCAGCGACACGACACAACCTACCTTTGACCCAGGACAATTGCCTTTATGGCACCAATCCACTTCTGTCTCTCACTCGGATCTTGCATCTCGAAATGCCAAATAATTTCGCCTTGCTCAATAGCAACCACTGAGCCGTTTGACTTGCCTCCGCTGCCTCTCGCTCCGTTCCTGCTCTCGCGTTTGCTGAGAGTGCTGGTCCGCGTGGAGTTCATACTAGGCCCAGATTGCTCTGTGACGTAGATAGCAGTGTCTTGGGTGATAGGCAGGCGATGAAGCTCTGAGGATGAGGGGATATTTGATTTGAAGAGATGGAGGTGCGTGACTGTCTGGGATGCAGCTGAGGTCGCAGTTGTGAGGACTATGGATCTTGTCTTCCACTGCTTTGCGAGGGCGTAGATTAGGAGGGAGGATGAGGGACAGAATTTGGGAAATGTGCCTGTGAGTGTGATACGTGAACTGAGGGAGGCGAGGGTTGTGGGGAAAGGCGGGAGATGAGGTAAAATAGTTGGAGTTGGTGAGGATATGGGTGGTGGAGGTATAGGAGAAGGCTCAGATATATGTGAGTCAATGGTTGCTGATGGGGGCACTTGGTCCTCTCGGATATCCTCTGGGTGTTCACTGGTAGGATAGTCGACGAGACCGATACTCTGAGCAGCAGCATCTCTGAGTCTCTCTCGTTCCTCTTCCTCTTGGACATAGGAATATGGACGGGATATTTCTATGACACCTGGCATGACCATTGGGTGAGCATGTTGAGGAATATGGCTAGTAGAATCAGGTTTTTTGCGAACGAGAGAAAACAAGAGGGAAGTGCGTTGTTTCCTTGGAGATGTGGGCCTTGGTGTTGGTTGAGGTGCAGGATACAAGTAGGGATATCTTGTAGATGATTCATTGGATGATATGCTAGTTGATCCATTAGCAGTGAAATTTGGTAAGAGCGCTGCAGCAGATTCTTGGTCTAAAGAATGTAAGCTCAAACTCCGTTGGTCAGCTCATATTGACACACCATAAGGAAATTCGACATGATCAACGTATGATTCCTTTTCCTTTCCTTTTGGTTCTCGGGTTAGACTTGCACGTCTGGTATCGCCGAAATTGCGTTGTGATTCGGTGAAGAAATGAATTGGCATCGTGGGCGGTGATTTGAGGGTCGTCTGAGTAGAAAGCGACTGATAAGGACGATGGGGACGAGGTCGAGTGACAAGGAATGATGAGCAAGTTTAACGTGGCAGTCAAATTCAAGTCAGGGCGGTGATTGACACAGGTCAGCAATCACACTTCCATCACAATGCCAACAGAAATCACAAACCTTGCTCCATGGATTCATCCATTCCATTGATGAATGTGAGGGCGGGGAGGAGGATGGTGAGTTCATGAGTTCAACGTTAAAATGCTGCTTGACATAAAATTGTATATCACTTATGACATATCCTGTCATGTTTCACGTGCATCCACGTGCATACATCTAGTTCATCAACTTGGCGGTGCCGTGCACTGTGCAGCCAACACACCGCAGTACACAAAAAGTCTTGCCCACCCTCAGCCCAGCTCTTGACTATATTCAGTTTAGTTCGTACCTTATGATCATCTTCTGGCACGAGGACGACCACTGCCTTCAAATCAACTTCTGTGATCTAAATCGGCTCAGCAGTGAGCACAGCTTGTAGACAATGTCGAAACTATCATTAAGTCATGTGATCATCTTGTACCATTACAACGAGCATGTCAGGCCTCACTCCATCATCCACCCAAACTGTAGAAGCACTCGCCGTATTCACCACCCTCCGACATTTCCAATATACCTTATCTCGCTTGCGTACAATCGCCACAGTCGCTAACGCAGAAGCAGGTCCCATCCGTACCACACCATCTTCTTTGATTGGCAAAATTATAACCCCAATACACGCTCTCTCGGTCCTCACCCCACCCGTCACCTACATCCTATGCGTCACTTTCAACCGCCTCGCGCAGCCTGCGTGGATGCTGCGAATGAGCCTTTCTAATACTTATTTTACACACGAAATTGAAGTAGGGCTGAGAGTCGCAGCATGCGCAGCGACCTTTGTGCTCAACGGATTCACCAGACGTGCATTCACCCACCTTGGCAATCAATGGCACTTGATCGGGGTGTGTATTGTCTCTTTCACACTGGAACAAGACATAAGCTCACTCCCCCTCGCCAGAGACGCGAGAAGTCTAGGATCGTGCAAACAGGTCCATACGCGATAGTGCGTCATCCGCTGTACACGTGGGTCTCTTGCGTTATCTACATGGGTGAGATAGGATTGAGTTCTGACGTCCCCCTTACGACAGGAGCGTGCTTATCCAGGGATTGCTTTTTACGCTGATGACCTGGTCTTATGCGCCACTTGTAGGATCGGCTATTGCTACTGGCCTGTCTGCTGTTAAGCTGCTTGTTGAGGTCGGTATCTTTCCCGAGTCTTTGTGTTGCTGTATCTAGTTGATTGCCTTTTATTTTTAGGAGGATCTTATTTTGCAAGACCCTGCTGTCGCTGGGGAATATCGTGCGTATATGCAAAAAGTGCCTGCGCGACTTATTCCGTTCCTTTGGTGATGTCTTTATTCATGTTTTCTCTTTGCTTCCTGACCACACCCACACGTCCATTCACTGGTGCCATAATCTCACGGTTTTCGCATTTAGTTCGTGTCGTCTCATACCATACACTTAGTATTGTTCTCAAACGTACTGCCTCAGGCATCGTCGGACTCGGACTTGGAATAAACATAATGCAATTTGATGCAAATGGGGCACAAAGTATGGACATACGCACATGCAAAGTTTACGTACCTTCATTTTGAACTTTAAATGCGAAGTGTAAATAAATGTCACATGATGTGATATTAGAATTTCGTTTATCGTAGTGTTAATTATACAACCACCACCCCAACATCATTTCTCTAGCATGTCTCAGCACGAAATATGAGTGAGTCATCAGCGACTTGAGCGACTTGAGCACGACCATCAGCGAACCTGAATCTGTCATCAGCTTCAACGAGGGTGTGTATCTGCAAAACGCTGCCGTATCTACTGTGACTTACATGGGACAGGCTCGACAGACAATAGAGCAGCTAGCGACAAATTAATACAGATGCGATCACAACTTTACCGAGAGTGCACGACGTGGACGCATCCAGGGTTCTAGATGCAATGCTGAGGAATGCTCACCGGACCAGTGGCGAAAGCTCCGAGCGTTATACTGCCTGTGCCATTTGCGCATGTCCTGATATCCACGAGCAAGTCAACCTCGCGAGAACCTGGTTTGTGTATCTTCTATGGCCATGTAAGTTAGAACTCTGAGAAGTCTGCCGCTAACGCAATTTTTCACAGGTAGTCATGGCCGGAACCCGCCGGCCATCAAACTTGATTCCTGGCCATTGACGACGCCTATGGCAGCCCTGTAAGCGCCATTCCAGAACGGAGTAGCAGATTCAGGACAGATGTACGTCTTACAGTTAAAAGTGGCTTTGGCACTAACTTCCAACAGGTCAATCGACGGGACGGTTATAGATGCGTTGTTTCACGTGTCTGGCATGGACCGTACGTGCCCGCCGGTGTCGATCAGGGTTACTGGCAGGCCGTGGATACATCCTCGCAAGCTCGTCGGTAAAGTCATCACCTTCCGGAATCACGATGTCCCGACGCAAGACTTGCCTTTATTTGACCCTCGTTTTATTGCACTACACGCAGGCATCTCCCGAATCTTACATATGAGCGGCGCATCTGAGGTATTCGCACAGATCTTGGACAAATACGACGGGGTAGCAGGCAATATCGGATTTCTCAAAAGCAATGGAGATCCGGTGCGTCAGCTACCTTCAATGATGTCTGCGCTGTTTATAGGCGCTTCGTTGATTACTTAGTGTCTCGCAATAACATGAAGTTCTGTGCATCCTACTTCAATGATTGCTGCATTCTTATGCTGATTACGGGAACTCAGGTAAGCAACCGGTTTACATCAATATTGTTATGTAAAGTCAGGGAGCGTGGTATTGATCAACTCACACATCTTATCATCACCGTCTGGAAGAGACTGCTCGATGACACGGCGTACACCCTATCGAATGATCTTTCAATTACTATGGATCATAGTTACAGAAGCCGGCACAGACACAATAGTTTGCAGGACTCGACTTTGACTGTTGGTGATGAATAGGCCTAAAGCTTCAAGCTTGCAAAGGACAAGGCAGGGGCTGACAGCGAATTATAATAAGGAGGTGCCAATCTGGGAGCAGTGACAGAGACTTAGTTCATGACTCCCATCTTGATCCCGTGAGTTACTTAGACACAATCCATTCACAAAGCAATGTCCGCCATCGAAGCACGTGTTTTGTTCTTCGCTCAGGCTATTTGCACATTTTTCAAGTTGCACTGCCAGGATGGGACACAGGAGTTATGACTCCCATCTTGATCCCGTGAGTGACGCCACTACAATAACAAGACCCGTCGTCGAAACACGTGTTTTATTCTTCACTGTTTGCACTGCCAGGATGGAACACGGCAATTCTGCTGCCACGTCAGGCTTCTGGCGGTGCTCGGAACCGATTGGAGCCGGAGCTATGTCCATGTCAGGTTTGGCGAGCCCCTGTGTCGCACGAGTTACATACATCATTTAAATCCATAAATGAGTGGTATCGCTAACGTGCTTTACCTCGACCATGAAGCATGTCATCGATACTCAGACGATCTCGTCGTCGTGAATTAATCCTCACCAAGTCATTCACGAGCGCGATTCAGGAAAAGGTTCACCCTCCGCAGTAAGTTTATCCTTCCACCTGCCATCACTGACGTTTCCCTGACTATGGTCTTAGTCACATTCCAGAGTTAATATCCAGCAGCCCATTCACCGTCGGTCGCACCGATTTTCGTCCTTCCTCGCCATCAGCTTCAATTGCAAAGTCCCCAGACTTCGCTCGTCCTTCTCTGACATTTTCTTTATATCATAGTCCGATCTCCAACCTCCAACATCATCCCATCCACACCCTTCCTCCTGAGCTTCTCATTCGAATCTTCGAGCTGGGTTCATTTGATGATGCCCTATTTCTTATCACCATTTCGCACGTCTGCCACCCATGGAGAATACTTGCTATACACACACATACCCTCTGGCGGCGACTGTCGTTTGATTCTCATGGATTACGTTTGTGGAAGGCGCGCATAGCGCGCGCCCGTGGGTGCTCCCTCGACATTGCAATCACACCTCCGCAGCATCATTTTCCCGATATGGACACGTTAGCCCTGCAACTGCATCTTATTGTCCCACACATATCCAGAGCCCGCTCGTTTGAGCTGCGGTTTTCAAGCTACACGCCGTTCATATGGAACACTGCTCTCGGTCCTATATGCCGCCGTCAAGAGCAACGTAATGATGATAACATGGACGGACATCCTTTTCCTCCATTGGTGCACGCGCTACAACTGGAGAGACTTGCTCTGTGTTTTCCAGAGAATGATGACACAAAGGAGTTTGCTCTTTTCGCGGGTGTTGCGCCTCGGTTGCATCACGTTACGCTTGATGGCATTCGCCTGACCTGGCTGCCAGGGCTTTATGGACGCCTCACTTACCTCGACTATACTCATCACAGATTCACAACTGGGTCAACCGCCGTGACTGAAGTTCTAGGGATACTTCGAATTTCATGCGCACTGCGCGAGCTTCGCGTGTGCTTTCGAAGAAGAATGCTGGATGGAGAAGTTCTGTACCTATCTCATGATGAGGTTCCTGCAGGACATATTCACCTTCTGAAGCTCGAGCGACTTGTTCTTGCTGTTGATGGATCGGATATCGACATGCCTCCCGAGCTTACATCGCTCTTGTCCCGCTTTTCTGTGCCTAACCTTCGCGAACTACATCTGGCTGACCTTCGCTGTCAACCCGCTAGTAGAGGCTGGCGGAAGACAGTGCCATTTCCTGCACTCGGAGCCGCCCTGAGCCTTTTTCAAGTCACAGTACCATCCAACATTAAGGTTCTGGCGATGGCGGGCCGCTGGGTAGATCGCTCCTTCATTCCTTCCCTCATGAAACATTTTAGAGAACTTCACAAATTGGAAGTTGATGGTGTTGAACAGGACCTTGTTCACATGTAATGCCTCAGTAGAGATTTGCCACTGTATGATAAAGCGTCGATATAATAAACAATATACCTTTACCGATGGGATTCTCACTGATATTCCTCAGATACGAGTCAAATTTAGTACTCATCTTCCTAATCCACCCATTGTTAGACTCGTGACCTCATAGATCTCGGGTTGGTCACGAGTCTAACTCATTGCCAACACGCGTCTTTTGTCTTATCTGTATTGTTTAGAGACTACTGTGGACCAACCGCGGTCCCGTTCATTCCGTCATTCTTTCAAGACACCCACGTGTCAATCGATGCTGAAACAATGTCCGGTCAACCCGACCTGTCCAAGAATTCTATCTCCTCAGCATGGTCCGAACAGTACGAAATGTATGATTGCTAACTCTGGTGAACGACGGCAAGGAGTGGCTTTTGTTGATCGTGACGAAGAAGACGCGAGAATATCACTAGCGACCTCACTAGTTGTTGAAGTTGAGCTTGCTCGACTCTTCCTAGATGAGGTTGGTACTGTTTAACTCGTGGCTGCTCAATCGTCCGCTGACTGCGCAGTTTGCGCCGATATGAAAATGAAATTGTTAGAAGAAAGATTTCACCAGCCCGAGGTAGCTCAGGGATTGGACCGCAGTATCGGAATGGAGAAGTCTTCGTTCTAACTTTATGGGAGACCGAGGTTTGGACTACGGCACCATGCGGAACTGAGTTTGAAGATTAGTCAGCGGAAACTACTCTAGTGACCAGTTTCTAATTGGAACTTAGGGGGGCCCCACCAAGACAAACTCAACTCTAGTGGCCTACTTCCTTGTATTCTAGTCTCGCTTTAACTAATTGACTATTCAACCAATTGGATCGCACCCGCATGGTCACTCGTGAAGTTAATTATCTCACCATGTGTTGGCCCTTGGATGATCCGACGCGTAATGTGCAGGTATGGCTAGTCAATCGTCCGCGGCCACTTGCAATTGCGACCGTGCCACGTACAATAACATACGTATATTTTACATCACAGCATTAGTATATAGTCGACGCACCCGTTATATTCCGGTTCACTCACCCATCCTCTCCAATCGAAACTGAGGTGAAGCTCTGACATCTGTTCCGTACTCCATAACCTCTTATTGTTCTTTCGCAGGTGCGTACTGCGGTACTAGAATCCTTCCTCCCAGACTGAGTTTTTGTTAATCTCTCGCAGCCTTGGTTTTTCGTTGCCAGTATCACCATGTCCTCCCCTGATAGCTATACGCTGAAGAACCTCTATGATCTCAATGGCCTGATCGCACTAGTGACTGGTGGTGGCACAGGCATCGGCCTTAACATTGCACGTGGCCTCGCTGCTAATGGGGCCAAGGTATATATCACCGGCCGAAGAAAGGATGTTCTTGATGGAGTAGTTGCGGAATGGAATGCAACTAAGCGTGACGACATGGGTCCTATGATCGCGTAAGACCCTATCCGTTATCCTTGTTCCGTACGGGTTGATCAAGCACCATACATAGGCAAGAGATGGATGTCACGAAAAAGGACAGCATCAAAGCTGGTGTAACAAGAATATCCCAAGAAGAGGGAAAGCTACACATTCTTGTGAACAAGTATGATGTCTGCTCTCCTTATCTTATCGTGACTCATCATGATCGAACAAAGTGCTGGCCAATCCGGTCCTATCTCTGATGAATTGAATCAGCCATCGACTACTGCTCAAAAGGAGGCCGGACCAATTAGTGAATACCTCTTCAACAATGAGTCCTTTGAGGAATGGGGCTCCCTTTTCGCGATTAACACCTCTTCGATATACTTTGTGACTATCGCGTTTTTGGATCTGCTCGACAAGGGCTCTAAGGATATCGACAAAGAAGGGTTCTCTTCAAGCGTCATCAATATCACGAGTATCAGCGGGCTCATAAAGGTCGCCCAGAGACATGTGAGCAAAGTCACGGTCGCATTCGTTTATCATCCCTAACTTTGGTGGACAAGTTTTGTTACAACAGCTCAAAAGCTGCTGGATCTCACCTAACCAGGATGCTTTCGACAGAATTTGCTCTTAAAGGAATCAATGTTCGAGTGAACGCCATCGCGCCAGGCGTGTATGAAAGCGAGATGACACACGACACAATTACAGGGCAAGCAGCAACTGATTCGGTTGGTATGCCGGTGATACCTGTACCAGCGAAGAGGCCCGGGACGTGAGTCAGGCTTAATCCGTGGACCAGCGCATTCACTGACAGGAAATTTGAACAGCGGTGCTGAAATGGCAGGCACTGCCGTTTACCTTGCATCGCCTGCTGCGGCGTATATGAACGGGCAGGAATTGGTTATCGATGGTGGGTACTTGGCTGTGAATCCTTCAAGAGTGTAGTGTATGCTGTTGGGAGTTGACGTTTTCCTCATGAGTTGTTTTTTTGGGGTTGTCATGTACCATAAGTGTAGCCTGTGGCAGACGAACAGGCCTAGACGTTTATTCTTTAGGGTTTTACTCGTTTACATTTGGAAACTTGTGAATGCGCACCGGAGTTAACTTTGCTCGTTTTCTCCTCTTGGCTGGACCGTAAAGAAGGAATACTGTGCCTCTTATTGATTTCGAGTTGCATTGGCTACGTGACGCGGTCAACAACCGACTACAGGCTTATCGTCAGCTGTGGAGTAAAGGGGTCGCGGGACAGGTATTGCATCGTGTCAGTCCTGCACAAAGTCATTGAACGCGGCTGCCACTCGACAAGGATCCCATATTTGATGGAGTCCCATCACCACTGGGGCATGCAGGGGAGGTGCCACCCGAGTTGATAGTATAAAGCAGCGCCAGACCATCGATCGTGAGTATTCGATGCAGAAGCATCGATAGTATTGATGGTTGTGGTTACGGTAGTGCACTTGTCCGTGCAGTCAAGCCCATCAATGGATTCATTGGTCTTTGCCAATACAATTTGAATTTATTTACCAGTTCGCTCGGGTGGTCTAAGTTTGACGTTTACCTATTGCCTCCAACGCCAGCGCGTGCAGAGGTCCTGGTGGTACGTGGTACGCATTTGCTGAGCAAATTCTGTCGCAGCTGGAAGGTTGACGCGGTGATAGCCAGTCCCTGGGCCCAGGCGCCAAACAAAATGATCGATTACGTCAAGAATTATGTATGAGCGCTCAAGCTGTGGTAGGCTAACGGTAGTACTAGTCAGCTTTTTATCTAGTCTTCCTTTTTCAACACACGCATTGCTGAAACACAGTGAGCGCTACGGCCGCAGCTGGTGATAGCACTCAAATCTACAATTCTAATCGTCTCCGTCTAGACGTATCAAGTTTCTTGTTAAGCTATTCGCGTCAACCCCACAATTGCCAACCGGTGGAGTCGCTATTGCAGACTGTGAAAAAGCCGTTCACAGTGATCTGCATATTGCAACTTCGCAATGCCATCTGTAAACTCGGTCAACGCTGGATTCAGCGCTAGCCATACACAAAACGCAAAAGAGAATTCTGCCAATCCGTCTGGACACAGCAAACATGATGACGAGACCGGAGACGTTGACTCATGCCGGTCTTCGATAGACCAGCACATGCCAAGCCGCGTTGAATCACCAACCCCAATATCACCTCCCGGATCTCCGATAAGGACACCGAGGACCACCCTCCCTGACACACCCTCAAGCCGTACAGGACCACCACGCTCCTTGTCATTCACCTTCTCCCACCGCTCTTCATCCACCTCGCGTCACATTCTCGGAAATAGCCAACAGGAACACGGTGATTTTTTTGAAAATGATTTAGGAGATCGTGGTAAAACCTCGTTTCAAATTAATTCAAGTTCGTCAAGCTTCCGGGGTGCATTGGAGCTTAGTCCTTCTCTAGTCAAAACGACCACAGATAAGAAGGGAAAAGCAAGAGAGAGCAGAGTTTTCGACCAATACCATGATTCACCATTGGAAGACCGATCGAATTCGATGTTTCCCGAACATTCTAACACAATAATTGAAGAGGAAGAAGAGAAGACGGAGAGGAAACCTATGTCTCGCTACCAAACAATGGGATCTATTTCCAAGCCCATTGAGCCTCCCCCTTCGGATCTCCAGCGCTCTCAATCTCACCCTCCCCAAATAGATCCAAAGAAGCCAGGAACATCCACAAAATGGAACAAATTACGTAGTCTCCTACCTTCCGTTATCCGCGCTGGGCAACCTGGCGCTCCTGCACCACACTCTGTGATTACCTCAAACGAGGTAAATATTACGGACGAACTCATAACGGGCGGTTTGTCCACATTGATGCTGCGTTTGTGGTTTGAACACGACGAGAAGGGGCGCAGGCGCGTACCTGTGCTCTTCCATCGTCTCCGCATACGGATTAGTGATAGTCTACATCCCATGCAAGCGCATAAAGCCGTGTTTCGTATCGAGTGTGAGTATGCCAATGGTGCCGTGCGTTGGGTGGTCTACAGGCAGCTTCGTGATTTCATTTCCCTGCATACTCATTACACCGTGTCCAATGCGTTCAGCAGTCAAAAGGATATATTGCCAGAGTTTCCTCGAACTAGTAAGAGCTGTGCATTTTTCGATGTTTGGAAATACTAAGCTGTTGTACAGGCCTTCCTTACTTTAAATTCTTGAAGAAGGAATCCAGCGGGCGTCACGTCAAACAAACTGACTTTGCTCGTTTGCAACGAGAAGCGCTAGAGGAGTATTTGCTTAAGCTTATACGCGCTGTTGTTCGTCTGTTCTCCTATGCCGTAATTACCTTTCACAAACACCGTTCTAGATGTTTCACCCAACCGCAAACCGACTCGCAGGCTTCCTTGAGATAAGCGCATCATTCATTAGTCTTGCTCGATTTGGCGGTGCACAATTTAAAGCTGGATTTCTGCGCATTGGTACAGAAGGCAATAGCCCCGGGTTTGGGCGAAAATCAGCACGCTGGCGAGAGCGGAAGGAGGCCCGGTGGTGTGCTGTTCGTGAGAGTTATATCGTGGCCGTGGAGGACCCAGGGGAGGCAAGCCAATTGCCATTTCACTGACAATCCTGCTACTAATAAACATCTTAGACGGAAATTTGGGATGTCTTCCTCTTTGATACAGATTTTAAGATCATTCGGCCCACGCGATACTATCGTAAGGGTCTGCACCTCTTGCGCCCAGAACCGGAGGATCGTGAATTTCTCGCTCGCCTCGGCAAGACACAGCAGGAGCCGCACCCACAGACTCAGATAGAGTACCCACAGGCCGAGGTCGACTGTCTCTCTGCAATAGATAGTATCAAAAGTCGCCTTTCACGGGTCCTTCGAATTGCTAACAGGTCATCGCCAAATATTACAGCCACTTCAAATGGTGAGGTGCAGGGTAATCGAGATATCACCACGGGAACGGAGCACATGAGGACAGATTCAGTCAGCTCTGGCAGCTCCGCAGTATCATCTCGTCCTGCGACACCGATGTTGGACCCGTCTACACACGTGAATCCTCTGACGAGCAGTGGTCCCGCGGAAGGTAGGGAGAGACAAGGAGAGACAGACGAACAAGATAAAAGGAAAAAGAAGAAACGTTCGGATGATGTCTCAAAGCATACATTCTATGTCGAGAATTCACAGATGCGGTTAAAGTTATGGGCAAGAAATGAGGTTGGTTCCTCGTATCAAGTGACTATACATTACTGACGAAGGGTGTTCTGGCCTTAGCGTCAAATGCTGCAATGGATTACTGCCCTAGAAAAAGCTGCTGCTGCGACCCCTTTCATCGCAAAAAATCGGTTTGACAGTTTTGCTCCAGTGCGATTGAACGTCGCGGCACAGTGGCTTGTTGATGGGGTTTGTGTCTCATTTTCTCTATATCATCTGGCATTGACCAAAGAGATCAGCGCGACTACATGTGGAATTTGTCACGGGCTATCCTCATGGCGCAAACGACCATTTATATTCACGACTGGTGGCTATCCCCTGGTGCGTCCGTGGCTTAACATGGTAGTCACGTTACTTATGTAGCACAGAGTTGCAACTGAGGCGTCCTAATAAACCCAAGTATCGCTTGGATAACCTTCTTGAGAGAAAAGCCAAGCAAGGCGTCAAGATCCACATAATTCTATAGTAAGAACTTTTGGAATGTCGATATCTAGTGTCATTGATCTATTTCTAGCCAGGAAGTTTCGAACCGAACTACCCCCACGGATAGCCAGTAAGAACTGACAAGCGCGTCGTAGATGATGTGAACTCACCGTATCACAAAGTTATGCGAAGCAACGCCTCGTGTCGCTACACCCAAACATTACGGTTCAACGTTCACCCTCACACTTCCAAACTGGTACATTCTACTGGGCACATGTAAGGGTTCTTTACACAAGAACGCGGTCACCAATGACATACCTATAACAGCATGAGAAGCTCTGCGTCATTGATGAGACTATCGCATTCATGGGAGGGATTGACCTATGTTTTGGAAGGTGTGAAATTAATTCAGATCTCGACCACCTTTCATCACTGAAGAACTTTAAAGATGGGATACGCCACAACATGTCATCGTCGATGACCCGGAGCTATCGGCAGACAAGACCGAAATCTGGCCAGGTAGGTTTTAACCATGCGGTAAATTTGGGAATTGTCTGACCATGCATCACAGGCAAGGACTACAGTAACCCGCGGGTTCTTGATTTCCATGCGCTAAATAAACCCTCTGAGGACATGTATGACAGAGCAAAGGTGCCCCGCATGCCTTGGTACGATTGTCTGTGCTTCAGGAAATATTGACATTCACAACTCCTCCCCGAAGGCATGATGTAGGTATGCAAGTCGTAGGCCAGCCTGCTCGCGATCTCGCTCGACACTTTGTTGAAAGGTTTGTCCTAAAATTCATTCACGCGAAACAAATCGTTAAACTACCGAGCCACAGATGGAATTACTTGCTTCGGTTGAAAGTGCGTTTATCGCCTGATAGATATCTTGCCTTTGCTTAATTCACTTCAGAACCATTCCCGGAGCATGCCTTTCCTGCTACCTCCGCCCGAGTTCAAACCTGAAGAGCTTACCGCAATGGGTCTTACAGGCACATGCGAGATGCAAATTTGTAGATCAGCTGGCCCTTGGTCACTCGGTACTTCCAATCGAACTGAGCATTCCATTCAAAATGCATACTTGAAAGGTCAGGTGTCAAGGCTTACGCAAGAAGTATTACTAACAGTCTTTTAGCCATCGAGATGTCCGAGCACTTCGTGTACATTGAGAATCAATTTTTCATAACCTCGTGAGTACTTACTGATCTGCTACCACTGCTGGCTGATTTGTCTCTAAGGACCGTCGTAAATGATGTCAAGATTGAGAACCGGATTGGTGATGCGTTGGTAGATAGGATCACTCGCGCACACCGTCAGGGTACACCGTGGAAATGTTGCATAGTCATTCCCCTCCTCCCTGGTTTCCCTTTTCCTATTGATCACAGCGACGCTAGCGCAGTTAGTTGGGATAGCTATCTTTTGACATTTTACTGAATGAACGTATCAGATCCGAATCATTGTCGAGTGTCAGAACCGCACGATTTGCCGTGGGCCCAATTCGATATTTTCTCGGCTTCGCAAAGAGGGTATAGAGGTGCGTGGTTGATTTATCCATTGGAACTGCTGTACTTATCTTTGTATGATCAGCCTGATGACTATATCTCTGTGTTTTCGCTGAGAAACTGGGCTAAAATGCGGAATGGAGTATTAACTACGGAAATAGTAAGTGCCTATGCCCCTGTGCTTTTGAACCCCCCTGACCACGTTATAGTTATATATTCATGGCAAGGTAGAAATACGATCTAATCCTTGAAGCGGAGTTCTCAGATCCATCGATTTTATTAGGTTTGTATTGTGGATGATCGTCTGGCAATCATTGGCAGCGCGAACATCAATGAGCGCTCACAACGTGGCGATCGAGATTCCGAAATTGCTGCAGTCATCCGAGACACTGACCTGATTGACGGGTACGATTTTCTTGGTCTCGCCTGCCAATTTTCTGATAGCTGTGGTACATCAGAACGATGGCAGGAAAACCCTTCAAGGTCGGACGATTTGCACACACCTTACGAATGCGGTTGATGCGAGAGCATGTCGGTGTGGATGTTGACGCCATGGTTGATTATGAACCTACGCCTCACGAAGAAATGAAATCGGACCATGAACAAGAATGGGACCCAGAATTCGAGCAAGAGCGTGATAATCGCGATGTTACTCAAATCAAGCACATGACTCCCATGCGTGATGAGCTTCACACTGCAGGCGAAGGTATCCAACAAAGTTCGTATTCACCACAGTCATGAAGATTGAATGACTAAATCTCGATTAAACTGACAACGCAGCTGCCATGAGTGCAATCCAGCAGTTCAAGAAATCTATTGGGAAGGTAGAACTTCATGAACCAACCATTCCGGAGGAGCGTATGACGTACAGCCGTGAAGGCCAAAAAGAGCCAGGGCTCACCAGCTTGATAGTCCCCACTGTGAAAGAGGCAGAAGTTCAAGAGCACCTGCCGCCAGCTTCGCAAACTGAGATCTCTCCTTTGAAAGACAAGCTCAAACATCGACTGGGCGAAAACTTTGACCCCGTCGAGAAGCGCACAGCTGATGGGGAAGCAAACGGTGCTCCTGCGCTTGCGTCAAAGAATCCACAGACCAGTGACGAACCACCCCATCTGGAGTCGGGAGCACATGACCCGGACGAGCTTGAGAAGACTGCTCTGGAAACCAAGGCCATGCCCAGGAAGCGTCTCGCTAGCAAAGTCAGTAATATAACGTGGGCTGTACAAACCCCCGCTCCCCATGTAGATCCAGAGGGTTTTGAAGACCCGATATCTGATGCATTTTGGAAGAATGTCTGGAAGACTTGCGCCGCGCATAACGTATGTTATCTTTGCGTAGGAGTAGTGGATAGACTGATTCTTTTCCGCAGACTGAAATTTATCGCAAAGTTTTCCATACTGTTCCTGACGACCTCGTTACGACGTGGAAGCAGTACAAAGAATTTGTTATTCACCACGAACGCTTCTCTAAGCCGGTTTGTGACTCTTTTCCTCCGTTATACCTCTCTCAAATACTCGTATCACATAGGCAACGGGTAGCCATTCGCCCTACCCAGTATCACGAGTACCCTCAGAGACAGCTTACGAAGATGGACCATATGAAAAGGGAGGTCTGGCGGATGCTGCTGAGGAGAGCCGCGAGACCTTCTGTACCAACGATGGAAGCGACGGCGTCACCTCCAGAGGTTCTCACCCTCGTGGCCGAAAACCTGTGAATGGGATAGAGCCTTTTACCATGCAGGAGCGAGATGAAATGGAAGAGTTGTTGAAAGAGGTCCGTGGGCACCTCGGTGAGTGCTATTCATTCCCCCATCATCAGCTTCTTCTCATATTCTCGAAGTTATGTATCCTACGCGATTCTTGGAAGGAGAGGATAATGCAGGGAACTTCATATTCAATGCAGATAGGTATGTCGCATCACATATGTATATTTCATGTTGTTTACAGTTGCCAGGATGCTACCTCTCCCGATTTATGACTAAACTTTCTCCCCACCATCAGTTTGATGGACTCATTACGCATAAATAATCGACAATGTATACGTATTACGCGCACTCCCGACATACGCTTTCGAAGTTCTGCTATTTCCTTAATTCTTTTATGCTATCTCCATATCGAAGATCACCTTGTCTGGCAGTTCTCCCGCTATGTGATCTAGTCTATTAACAGTATTAATATACGCACCTTCAAGATACGGGCTGGAGAGAGCCCGGTAATCAGTATGCGCCTGATGCGGGCGGAATTCATCCAGTTTCTGTTTGCTTTCGAACAAAAAAATTGCCCCTAGAGCAATGTCGGACAGCAAGTCACAAGCTTTTATAAAACAGCCCACCCATGTCATAGCCGTGGTCGAGGGGGTTGAGGACCTTCTCTCCAGTGATAACGCTCTGAAGCGCGGGTATTCTTGACGGAAGTTCTTTGATAAGTTCCTTCACATATTCCCTTTGCTCGGGGGTTGCCTCCGACTTGAACTTGTACAGGACTATGCTAAGTCAACATTCCCGAGCGAGGCGGGGGGGTCAAATGGAAAGTTACCTATATTATAAATGGTCATGATGGACCCGGGAAGTGAGTGAATGGTCGCTCGGACGTGTGATAATTTGGCAGTGTGAGCATTCTCTATTTAAGTGCGAGAGGTGTACGTATGACAACTAATTGGATGGCCGATGTGCCTGCAAGTACCCGGGCGACAAAAATACCTGCCTACATAGAAATCATAGTCGGAACACGAATGTGAAGATGATCAATTCCATCATGTTTAGATTCATGGTACGTGCAGTAGATTTAGCCATATACACAAGTACGTACGTACAGCATGATATCAAGCTCAGTACTTTCCCCTCTAAGCTGTCTCGATATCAAAAATGAGTTTGTCTGCACCCTATATTCAGCTAAAGCAATATTTGAACAAACAAAAAAACCCACCCTCAAGGTAAGGTGCTGAGAACGCCTGATAATCAACATGCGCCTTGTGCACGCGATATTCGCTCAATGTGACTGTGCTCTCAAATAGAAAAATAACCCCTAAAGTGTAGCCTTGTCAAACTTCCGGTTTGCAGATAAGATGAGAAACGCTGTACCAGCATCATAGCCATGTCCACGGGGATTGAAAACTGTTTCGCCAGTGACGAGGCTTTGTATTTCAGGTATCTGCGATGCAAGGGCGTTGGCAGCGTCTTTCACGCTCTGTCGTTGTTCTGGGGTTGCTTCGGGCTTGAACTTGTATAAGACTGTACTATGTGTTAGATCACTTGAATTTGGGCGAGAGCGAGAACTTACTGATATGGTGAATCGTCATGATGAATTGGAAGGGAGGAAGAAAGGATGTCCGAGTCCAGTCACATGAATGTGATATCTCCATTATATATAGTAAGGCATTTCCAACGGCTTGGGGTCCGTTTTATCCAGCCTGTCATCCCGTGCTGTGTACCTCCATCATTAATGAGCCAGACTGACGTAGACTTCGACCGAGGCAAGCCGTAGATAGACAGACTGAAAAATTGGACATGGTGAGGGTGTCCGTCAAGCTGCAGGCTTGAAACGTTCAAAGGACAATTTCCCAAAAGAGGTGCTTTTCCGGGGTCTCCTTCTTTCTTTGGCAAAACAACGTCACGTGTATGGAGAAAGGTCGGGGTTGGAACAACGCTTGATGCTCAGTCCGTCTGTCTATTGACGGCTTGCCTTCATAGACGGGCTGCTCACTCTAAGCATTCTGCTCTCCTCCATCATGATGTATGCACTGACATGATAGATCATGTTCTCAATCATTCTTTTGATCAAGTTTGTCTCCAAATTCGCAACTCAATCTGGCCGCAATCTTCCATGAATCGGTCGGTGCATAAAATACTGGTTGTGCCAATATCGTGTACGAGCGCTGTTGTAATGAATACTGTTTCACTCAAAATAATATGTGATGTGACGGCATGTTCATGAACAAAGTACGGTGCGAACTTTATTTATAGTGTGCAACAGACTGATCAAGCTAGCGAAAGGCCAAGAAGGTTGTATGCGAGGGCGGGAACAATTCACAGGTGACGATCACCAGCCAACAACAAAAGTCGACTCGATGATTATGGAGCTTGTAGCCCAGGACGATAACGGACTACTAGCACTGCAGCTACCCACCAATCGATAGCGCGCACCATGACTCCCAGCCCTCATTCCGGTTCATGGTTGGAGCTTGGATGTATAAAAAATCAACCTACCCTAACTCAAAAGCCATCCATTAACGCCATCAGGTGCACCGCAACCTGACACACGGATGAGGTGAACGGTCATGACGTTACGCAGTTACAACCCCGATCCAGCCATCTACAAAGTACAGGTTCGTTTCAATACATTACGTTTGCGCTTTAGCCTAAAGAAGGGCTGCGATTCGAAGGTGAATTCATAGCGCAGCACCTTTAGTCATCACCTGCATGAGCAGAACATCCTATCAACCAGCTAGGCGGCCGACTCGATATCAAAAATGAGTAGACCTAGGCGCAACCATTCAATCAAAGGGATGTTCAAGCAGAAACAAGACATACCTTCCATCAAAGGACTCGCGAACCCCTGATAATCAAGATGAGCCTTGTGCGGGCGATACTCGTTCAACTTGACTTGATTCTCGAATAGAAAAATGGCCCCTGAGATACGATCTCAACAACCACCTACGAATGTTTCAGATGATATACCTTCGTCATAGCCGTGTCCGAAGGCATTGAACACCGTTTCACCAGTGACAAGGCTTTGGATTGCGGGTATCTGCGATGGAAGGGCGCTGATGCAGTCCCTCACGCTCTGCCTTTGTTCTGGGGTCACCTCAGGCTTAAACTTGTATAGGACTGTATTGTGGGTTAGAATAAAGCTGATTTGGATATCTCCGAGGAGAGTTTACCTATGTGGTGAATTGTCATGATGATTGAAAGGGTAAGAGTTGGGTAAGAGGAAGTGAGTCCAGTTACTTGATGTTTATTTAAGCAAAGGAGTAATATTAAAGGGCGATGCATGAGGTTTATGCGATTTAAGAAGTTCTCGAAATGACAACGGACTGCCACCATCATGATATCGGCCGTGTTAGGCTAGAGTGGGGGGCACTGCAAGCATAGCCGTCGAAGGTCGCGTCATAAGCTGAGCGATGAATTATTCATCATCATACACCAAGTCACTCCCCACAGGCCTTGCCATTGAATCGACTTCTGACCTTGAAGCACGTCATGGTGATCAGTCATCAATTAACCTCCGACAAACGTTAGATGTTAAGTCAGTGTAGTAATGGACCAGGCGGAGGCCATTGATGTTCGGACCCAACCACCCTCAAGGAACGGTGAAATTCGTCCATGGGCAACTCGGCTCAGCAAATGCAAGACTTGTGGCATTAGCCAATGTCATTGATAGAACCTAGATGCACAGTCTGTAAGAATGGGTGGATTTACAGTTACCAGATATCATGATAATAATAAGCTCGACTGGAAGGACAGCAAATGGAAATGAAATTTGCCAAGTAACAGGTTCCATGATGGGGGAGTAGCTGATGTAAGATTGGTTTTCACTGCAGGAGCACTTCAATACTAGATCAATCGATCATGTCCACCGCGGCGTCATCGATCATTCGTGGCTTTGACCTGGCCCGAAGATCATGCAAGCCAGAACCACCCAAAGCCAGGTCAGAACATCACTAAATGATTACTATGTGACCTAGAAGTATCAATTACTTCACTGTACAGTGTAGACCGCCGAGCGATATCTTGTGGTCCCAAGCAAGAGCACGTTATGCGACACAAAAGGAACAATGACTCTGCTGTGGACTACCGGTTGTCAGCTTTTGATTTGCTTTTGGTCCCACTGTGCACAAAATGCATTGTCGCTACTGTGGATGATGCCGCAGTGGGCATTATCTATCAGATGAGTATTTAAGTGCTCCTGCACAGTGCAAACCAACCTTGCATTAGCTACTCCCCCATCATGAAATCTGTTACCAAACTTTCATTCCCATTTGCTGACCTTCCAGTCGAGCTAGCCCTCATTATCTTTAAACATGCGGCACAACCCAGTTTCTCCCAATCTGCACCATACAAGTCTCAAAACCCATATTCATCCGCCCTCGCTCTCTGTCTTGTCTCTAAAGAGGTCAGGAAAACAGTGTTGCCCGAAATTCTTCGCACCGTGTTGCTCCCGCAGTTGCACAACGTGACAGCATTCGTGGATGCTTTACGCATGCAGGAGACATATGCTCAGCAAGACCACCAATTCAAATTCGACTACGCGAAACACGTACGCAGGATTTGGATGGGACAGTTTCGTGGCCGCCTCCCAGGACTTTCGCTCAACGGATTCGGACAAATGCAATCTGGGCTAGACCTCAGCCCCCTGGCCCCCGTCCTGCTCGCTGCACCATCCATCGCGGTCGACTTTGAGAATCTGGAACTTCTGTCGGCTTGCCTCTTTCATGCCTGGAAATCTCGCTCGGACAACCACGAAGAATCTCCGGCTCTGTACAGCCCAAAAAGCTTGATGGTGACGGGTTCTGAGTCGACCCGCCAATGGGCATCCTACATCAAGACTGACCACGGAGCGGCTTTCCTCGCTTCCATCTCTCACGTCATCTCCATCACACACACAATAGCCGACAGCACTCGGCACCAGCGTGGCACCTGCCACCGCGAGAATGCAGCGAAAATCTACAAGCTGCCTGATTGGATGATGCGGGCGCCACTCAGCAAGCTCCAGACCTTTTCATTGCCCATTCCGCATAGCGCACACACGCTTGCTGAATGTGAGCCTAGCGGCAAGGACATGAAAGTAGAGCTTTTGACGTTCTCTGTTTCCAAATTGTCGCCGCGCCGACGCACGCTCAAGGAACTAAGGATGCTTCAGCAAATGGGGAGTTCTCCATCTGATCATGGTGTTTTAGCGGTGCCCCGTCTTCGATCAGCCTTTTGTGTCCTTTGTCAAGATTGGCTGAAAGCTTGGGCCTGTGGATTAGGAAACTGACAAGGGGCATTATGGGATGACTGGTGATTTTAGATATATGCTTGTTTGCCAGCCTGTACACTTCACTCATTATTTGGACGTGGTCAAGACTAGTACTTACTTTGTTGTCCATCAATTACTTGCATACGGATTCTGGATTTTTTGTATATTAAGTACGCTTTATCGCCCGTCGATTATAAGAATACTCGCCTTTGACATGCATTTAGCGAAAACGTGTCACCAGAGGAATGGAATGACGCGCGCAGGCACTCTTCACATGTATAGCGGACGATGCACATATACGAACCTGTCTGCGCGGCGGCCGTAACATCCATTGTACAAGAGGTGGTTTAAGATCAAAAGACACATGTATGGTCAGCTCCTGAAGGGCTTGGAGCTCTGTCAACACAAATGAAGCGTCGCCTAGGTGGAACGTAATGGGATATAGAGCGATGAGATTCAAGGTAGGTTGAGAAAGGTTCGTTGATCGACTATATCATTTGTGACACACTTGAGTCTTAATGAGAGCGGACGTCGTTATGATTGCTTGAACCACGAGCCACAGCTAAAGGCTGCCTGGACCATAAACTGGGTATGTCAACAGCAAAATCCCGCCATAGTGTTGTCAGCAGCATAAGAATCCGCCTTGACGGAGTACTTGTCTTTGAGGAGTTCAGTTGGCAAGCACCAAAGAGTTGATACAAGTTTCTTGTAAGAATTTGTGAACCGAGTGATCTAGAGTACTCCTTGTCGCCGAGTTGATAGCGGGAATTATCGATACCATCCATGACAGTTTTAGGTCTGAGATCTCGTGTAAAAGTGCGCCCAGCTCCTGCTGGCATTCAGGGATAGTTCGTCCGGGGGGAACTAACTTCGGATATGGGATCCCGAGGGCTAGAATCTGGAAACGCATCGATGAAAGGATGTCCGATATGGATATATACATAGATAGACATACGGTCACTTGTGAACGTGCGAGCTGAAGTGAACCAAGATTGTCATATGCAGGACATGATGAGCACCTATAGAAAACTGGGGAGTCGTGCAGAGTACAATAATGACCGAGACGGACAAATCTGCCTTGGAGCTCCTCGGTCTCCTGGATGTTGCTTGTTGACGAGAGAGGCTAGTACTGGACCTAAGGTGGGCCGGTATCTTATTTGAGTAGTATTCGGGGTCCGCTCTATGTACACTATTCGCTGCAACAAAGTTATCGGTCGAATTCAACAACTGCATCGTTCAATACTTGGCGCAGCCCTAATTGGCCATCAAAACAAATAAGCGGCTCTGTTTCTCGCGTCATGGACGAGTCTGTCGCTCTCGATGCTCTTGCTGACACGCTCACAAGACTATCCACGAATTCATACAGTGTTGACCTCCATGTGCAACACATTCGCCTGGCAAAGTCCATGGAAGACAAGGACCAACTGTTAGTCGCTCTTGAAATGGCAGTAAACTATATAGCAACACCGGACGACGTCTGGCTACCTCTCATCGACGCAAAGACTGCCGCGAATGATATAAATACGCCAGAGGGCGCATTGGAGGTGTTGAGTGTATATTCGAAGGCAGAGTCGGACTATATGTGTATGTGAGCTGAAATATACGTTCTGGGAGATATTGACAGGCTACATTTAGCCTTCTCCGTCTTGCAAAAGCATCTGGAATTCCTAGCTGACCGTCATGAATACTTCTCTGGGTTAGAGGTTAAACCAGACAACTTAGGAGTGCTGTTTTCTGAGGACTGGATTCGGGAGGCGATGTCGATTGTAATTTCCGAAGGCGCTGGTGACATATCACAAGTAAGTTTTTCAATGCAACGCACTACTAGACGCCAACGACACGCAGAGTCATGTACTTTGGGATAAGTATTACAACTGGGAGCTTGAGGTACTAGAGAAGGCCTCAACGGATGAGAAGTGCGTTACAAAGTTTCGACACTTTACAACTCGTAGCAGCTCGCTCATGATATGCTAGGCCCCTATTGGTCAATATGATCGAAAATATCCTACTCGCTCGCCTTCAGGAACCGCATGCCAGTAAGATACTATCATTCATGCACTCTTTCGATACTAAGGTCGCAACCATAGATCATCAGGACACCTACCAATCATACTCCTCGTTTACAACTGCGCACAAACCTGCTAACGAATACGAATCACTTCTCATATCTGCGTCAAAACTGCGCTCACGGGCTGTCAAAGAATATGAGAAACGAGAGGCCTCAGAGATGGCGCTGGTAAGCAAACTACTTTTTTTCCATAACTTTCTGATTATCATTCCATTTAGGCAGCTGTTGGGTATTCACTCAATGCATACGCAACTTACATTGCTGCAGAGCGACGTCGAAGAGATCCAGATTATTTCATTCTTTGTGGATTGTACGAGCGTGGCCTTGCAGAGGCAGCAAAACGCCAATTTTCTGCCGAGCTTGGCGCAGAACGGGCAATACAAATGTTTTGGGTTGGATACATTGATTTTATAACATCACAGGGTCGAAGTGTGGAGTTTTGGCGACGTGCGACACGCGGCGCACCAGGCTCGGGTGAAGTTTGGGCGCGATACATACGCTTCCTGGTAAGCTCAACGAACCTTGACCCATTCTCTCATCACGCCTATTCTCACGCTAGGAACGGGAACAAGAGTCCGAGGATGAGACGGATGCCGGCAAGAATGAAGATATCGACGGTAAAAAAAATCTAAACTCCACCCCTCTTTTGCTTATTTATGTTTTTTTTCAGCCGCCTATACTCGTGCACTCTCAACAAACCTATTCACCAGGGGTGGGAAGAGTGATCCTGAAGTTGACGTTGACCAAATTGTACCTTTGGTTCTCGCTCGTGCAGGCGCGGAGAAGCGCGCAGTTGAAGCTGGTCGTGCTGACGCGAATGGTTTGGCTACCCTGATCAAGGTCACGGAGGACGGGATCGCGATGGTTCGCCAAGGTAAGAATGCATGCTGTTTGACCCAATCATTGATAACAATGATAATTGCCCTTCCTCCAGCGTCGAGCAGTGGAGATCCCCGCTTCAGGCTAGAGAAGTTTTTGTCTGAATTCGTATGTCAATTCATGAGCGCCGCAAATAAACTTTAGCGAACTTTTCATGTAGTATCTCAGTCTTGCGGACGTTCCGGATGCCGCCGTGCAACTATGGGCTTCCACAGCTGCTCACTATAAGACGAGCTGGGCAGCTTGGGTGGCTTACACTGATGTTCTCATGTGCGCTCCATTCAATTTCATTTATCTGGGGTGTTCAGCTAACTGTTTCCAGCCGCACAGATCACCATGATCTTGCCCGCCAAACCTTCCAAGATATGAGCACGAAGAATCTGGATTATCCAGAGGCCCTCTGGGATGCATGGCACAACTTTGAACATGCGCACGGGTCCCTTTCTTCTCTCGAGGAAGCCATACATAAAATCACTCAAGCAAGAGCCCAGCTTGAGACGCGGAGAGCGCGGGTAAGTGCGCCCTCGTTATAATTTGGTAATAACTCAACTGCATTTTAGGAAGCTGAGAAAGCATATGCAGCGGCGGCAGCACAATATGCAGAGCAACAAGCTGCATCAGTGTCAGCTATATCTGTTCCCGTGACACGTGCGACACAAGATTCGGCACCTGTTGTCGGTGAAGCGATGGATGTCGACTTCCTAGCTCCAACTGACACGAAAGGGAAACGGAAAGCTGAGGAAGAACCCCCTGTTACTGAAACCAGTGGGGGTAAGAAGCCTCGCCTTGGTAAATTGTTCATTACCGTTATTGCATTGAGACTTTAATGAGATTGCGCTTCCAGAAACTCCACCTGTTTCCCTGAAACGGTATGGATGTCTTTATACTCGAAAGGATATTTATTTCACACAAGTTAATGATCAGCGATCGGGAGAACTGCACCGTTTTCGTCGCCGACTTACCATCTGAGGCGACTGAAGCCGATCTAAAGGCATTATTCAAAGATGCGAGTGTTCTATCCTCCCGAATTTGTTCCTCCTATATATCTCACTTCCGTACATTCAGTGTGGCGATATCCGAGACATCAAATTCACTCGCATGCCGGAAACGCTAGTCGCAACCGTGGAGTTTTATGATAGGGTAGGTTACATCATTTCACGGACCATACCGTGTGTACTGATACGTGTATTCCTTTCAAGGACAGCGTGCCAGCTGCTCTTACCAAGGACAAGAAGAGGATACACGAGACCGAGATCGGCGTGCATTTAGCGTGGCGCTCTACGTTGTATATCACAAACTTCCCAGAAAAGTTTGATGACGCATCTATTCGCGATTTGTTTGGTCAGGTGAGTCATTTTGTTGCGTATTCTATTCTAACCTGATTCGGTTCCAAAAGTATGGCCTTATCTTTGATGTACGATGGCCAAGCAAGAAATTCAAAGCTACGCGACGTTTTTGCTACTTGCAGTACACATCCCCGGTCTGTGACACTCTTGTATGAGCTGTTGACATCTGACTTTTGCACGGCAGTCGTCAGCTGAACGAGCGCTCGAACTTCATGGTCGCGAGCTGGAGCCTGATCGCACTATTAGTGTCCTTATTTCAAATCCTGAGCGCAAGAAAGAAAGATCAGATGCAGACGCTAACGAGCGAGAACTCTACGTCGCTGGCCTTAGCAAATTTGCGACGAAAGAAGATCTAAGAAAAGTCTTTGAGACTGTGAGCCTATTTCATGTGCAGCGGTTGGTCGCTAAGGGTGATTGTTTCTATCAGTATGGACCCATCAAAGAAA